TCCTGCCTCCCCCTCTCCTGCCCCTACCCTGCAATCCTTCCCCTGTAATAAAACACACACACTGCTGTTCATTCACTCCGTTGCAGCAAGGCCCACAGATTCATGAATGGAGATTCCCTTCCTGAGACTAACGGGCTGTTTCAGCCAGTCCTTCACAACCAGCTCATTCATAAAAACCCAGCCTTGTTGAGCCCTGTTGCCGGGGCACGGGTCGCAGAAGGAAGTACAGAGCGCACGTGTGTTTGGAAAAGCATAGCACAACCTGCATGCCTGCCAACTCACTGCAGCCCTTTTTATATATTGTGTTGACGCCTTTTATTTTCATTTTCTTACCGTGAAAGGATGGTGTGTGTGCATGCCTACAGTAGCCCAAGTGTATTCCGTTACTACGGTGTGTAGAAAAGAAAGCCTGTTGTATTTGGAGTCCTGGTGAGTGGAGGAGAAACAGCAGTTTTCTGCACAGCAGAAGCAAACGTTCGGGAAAACAGTGCTCTGAAGCGATGAAAGGAGTAGATTTTAATGGTCTGTTTTTATTTCTATCATACTAGTGAATGTGTGTGTTTTAAGGCTGTAAGTTTCTGAGAGCTAAGTGCTGGTATGTGCCATCCAGTTATCAGCTCTGCGTCTTTGAAGTATAATAAATACACAAAAGCTGAACAGTAGTATTGCTTTTTCTGCCCTAGCAGAGAATGATTCAATTTTGCCTTGATGTGTACTGGAATAGTTGAGCGAGTGCCCTGGGGGAGTACAGGGAGTCGCGGTAAAGTATAAAGAAAGCTAATAAATCAGAGCATGAGAGCAGATCTGCAGTGTGTACAGCAGTGTAGGAAATATGACGGCCTCTTACACAGCCCACAGATGTCCATTCTGAACACTGCTTTCACGGTAATGCATCCAGCCTCTGTGTTGTAAAGCTACATTTACGGCCACGGCTTCCTATATGATTACTATGGGGCTGAGCACAAAGCAGTCACCCACACACAGAAACTTGGGATTAACTTGTGACTTGGAACACAGGGCTTGAGCCAGGGACGGAGGAGGAGAAAAAAAAAGACGAAAAATACCCAGCACCTTATCGTAACACGCAGCAGAATAGCAGACAAAAGAGTCTTTTGAGTTGTGCCAGGTCCGTTTTTAAACGCTGGAAAATGAACAGTAGGGGTGTTCAACAGACTGGATAGGGATCTAACTAGCAGCGGTGCTCAATTGTAAACAGTGACAGACATGCTTTGTTGGTTTATTATTGTTTTCTAAAAGAGGAAGTCTGACACTGCTAGTTGGCCACTCAGGCGCTGAAAGTAGATTGCTGAGGATTCCTACGGAATGAACTCCACATGCTTCCTCACAAAAAGATCTCGATTCCAAATATTGTGTAGCGTCTGCTTGAAACAGACGTATATTTTCTCAAAACATCAAAAATGAATAAGAATAATAGCAACGTCAGTCACATATAAGGTAAACGGGGACATACAACTCGTTTAAACAGTCCCCACCTGTCTGAGAACTTGACGGATAGTCTGTGTGATGTAACCTGCAGGAATCCTGATCCACTTTGTAGAAAAACAGTCCCCCCAGGAGCCACTCAGCACGAGACACTACTAACATTTAAACTCCTGTTCAGCAGCCATACTGCCCTTTCTGCCTACACCTGTGCCACAAGACTGCTTTGTAGTTTAAAAATCTTTGCCCCCCTTTGCCTCTGGCGGTTGGGGGTGCACATGAAAGAAATCGGAATTAATCCCTGTATCAGTTCCAGGAGTCCCAAAGACAGGATGGTACATGTTGGTCTTAAAGGAGTTTGTAACAGAAGTTCCAGGGGAAGGTTAGATCCTAATCTCACACACTTCCTCTCGCCTACGTATACAAGTCTCACACACAGGCCCCTAGCTATGCTCTTACAGCAATTCTCTGGCTGAGTCCTCATAAGAGTGACACGGGACCCTCAGGGCTAGCTGCCAGTAGTAGTAGTAGTATTAATAATATGAATTATAGTACTACTACTAAGAATAATAATTTATTCACTTATTAACACTTATATAGTGCTTTTATGGACACTCCACTCAAAGTTCTATACAGGTAATGGGGATCCCCTCCACCACCACCAGTGTGCAGCCCCACCTGGATGATGCAACTGCATCATCAGTGCACCCACACACCAGCTCTTAGTGTGGAGGAGAACAGAGTGACGAAGCCAGTTCAGAGATGGAGATTATTAAATAACCATGGGAAGCAAAGGCCAGTGTCTGGCCATGACACTAGGGTAACTCCTCGACTCTTTTCGAGAAATGCCCAGAGATTTTTAATGTCCAGAGAACCAGGACCTCAGTTGTATGTCTTATCCCAAAGAACAACGCTTTTTAGAGAATAATGTCCCCGTCAGTATACTGGAGCATTAGAAGCCACATAAGCCGCAGGGAGAGCGCCTCCTACTGGCCCCACTAATACCTCTTCCTGCACCAACCTGTGCTTTCCCAGGAGGTCTCCCATTCAGGTACTGGCCAGGCTCACACCTTCAGAGCTTCAGTGGGCTGCCAGCTGGGAGCTACAGGGTCATAGAGCTGCTGGCTGTTCCCTCAGCTACATGAGTCATGGAAAGTACTCTCTACATATTCCGTCCCTCTATTGCACTCATTAGGATCTAACTAAACTACTGAAAAGAGAGATGGCTCCTCTTTATTTAGACAACTTTGGAAGGAAGAGACAAATTGCATACAGTTGTCTTTGTTTAGACTTGGAGAAAGACAGACATTTTTCAAACAGTCTGCACTGGATGTTAGTGTGAAGATGTTCACATGCAGCAGATGTTTTAGTTGAGAAGAAGGTGCATTTAAGATGGGGCCAATCAGCACCCGGGACTCAGATTCACGCTGGTTTATAAATATCTCTTCCATAAAACAAATTAAAAGAAGCCGGAGTGTAAGACACCATGTTTGGATAACCTAATCTAGTAAAAAGCCATGAGAAATCAAAACCACGGGCGGCTCTTCTAAAATCACGTGTTGGCGCAGACACCCCAGCGATTGGCTTGGGTCTCCGCTGATCTGGAAAGAGTGTTGTTTGTTAATAATGTCCCCACTCGGGGGGGGAATCACACACAATGGGTTTCCCAGACCTGTCCAGATTGCGCAATCACTTGTTTTTTCCCCTTAACCTGACACTCCCTCATCTTGCTGTATTCTGCCAGATTCCTGGCCCCATGCTCGTCTCTCGCTGCTCTTACAAAGGCTCTGGCTAGACAGATAAACATCAGATCACACAGACGAGCGGTCTGTAGCTGCCGAGACTGCCTCAGCTCCCGGCCTGCTCCAGCCTGGAGTTCTTTGTGGAGGAAGGGCTGTCAGGACAAATGGCTAATCATTTTCCCTTCTATGTTACTGACCAACTTCAGTTCATAGAGAGGAGCCTTGCACAGGCTGCGTTAGAGGAAACAAGTTACGCAAGAGGAGAAGTCTAGAAAATACACTTTGAATTTTGTGGGGAGGGTTTATATGGACCTTTTGAGAACCACTCCGCTAAGCACGCAAATGGGAAAAAAAAAGTCACTTTCCTCAGCCTACAAAATGCTAGATCCTGTCTACAGTAAGGGACACGTAATTTATTTATTGTTAAACACCATCAACAAGGCTGATGAAAATATTTCCCAGTGGCTGTTGATTAGAAAGAGAAAAGAAGTGGAGTGAAAACAGCAGGAGGCCACGAGTGAAGACTGAGCACTATTATTTCTATGACCATTTGCTGAGACTTAAACGAAAAAAAAGACTCTTCACTTGGGTTGGAGCTGAACAGGTGAGCTGGGGGTTGGGATTACAGGGATCCTGTCCTAAGCTGCTGTGACCTGTCATGCTCAATTTCCACCTCAAGCCTGGTTTACATTCCTCCTCGTCTGTGAATTGTCAGCCATGTTTGGTGCCGATTTGCAGCTCTTAAGAACGGGTTAAGTGGGTTTTGACCTTTCACCTGCACGAGGCCTGAGTCTCACCCTCACTTCCCCCTTATTATTCCTGTCTAGTCTACAACAATGCCTTAAGGGAGCATCCATCAAAACCAAGCTCTAAAGGAGGGGTTTATACCAGAGTGCTTTGTAAGGGGCAGCATACAGCACCAATGTCAGACACTCCCTTGTTTTCCTTTAAATGTCTGTCAGACAATATGACACTGGAGAAGTGATTAAGGTTTCTCATGAATGACAATCTCCCTTTACCCAAAGCACACAAAACCGTTCCATTTGCATTTATTCATATTTATTATCATGGTATTTAGCCGCAACACTGTCCAGTCGAGGTGGACTGGAAACAGATGGATGATGGTGTTTAGTAAGGCGCGATTATAGAGTGAATTTTATCATGCACACCTCCGCTCAAGATGCATCACCTCAGAAATGAAAAATAAAATGTGGCAGGTTGCCCTTGTGCTGGTGAGATCAAATACCTATTAAAAGAATTAGCAGTCTGCTTTCTCGAGAGTATAAAAATTTGCTGTGAAGGAGTATCAAACAACCCACTAAATTGTCAGGCAGGCACCTAAACAAGCTGAAAGAGACCTGTGAAAAAAGGTCTAGTGCATTGAATAACTATTTATAGATGTATCAATGTGACCTAATTTTGTTTAAAATTCAAAGACACTTGTTTCTACGAGTCTTAATTTTAGATTTCCAGTGTCCTTTTTTGTGAGGCTGTGTGTTTTTGATCCACAGCTGAGCCCTCATCAGAAGAATCAATGGTGGTCTTTGTATTCATGCCTTAAACTGCCTCTTAGTTGCTTTCCAGAATGGTTTCTTTTGCGGCACAAAATGCAAATTGACAGGTGACACAAAGGCACAATATACTGTACTTGTATGATTTAGAAAATAATAAAGAGCAGGACATAAGTCATGTATTTTGTCTTAAACATTCCTCTCCTTTGGAGGATATCAGCCAATAAAAGTACAGTAGGCACACCCAGGCCTGCAGCAGTTCCCCTCTCACACACAGTGTTTGATATTCCACAGGAGCTGTACTTACAGTTTTCTGAGTGGAAGTCAGGGACAAATTGCTCATCGCTGTCTGGGACCTGAGCTACAATCAAAAAGGAAGGAGACAGACAGACAGTTAGAATCTTGGCACAGAACACACTGTAATTAAAACAGGAAAACAGAAATTAGCCCTATAAACACCGCCCTCAGAGCTTCAGCTAAGAATAAGGCTGTGCTCGTGCAGTAATGCAAAAATAATTAGTCTAATCACTTGTGTGGGGCCGGAGAAAGTCACTTTTAACTTGTGATGTTTACTTTTTTTTAAAAGAATGCACCAGTTTGCTTTTAGGAAAGCAACAGGTCCTTGATCCCCATGTTATTACCAGTGCTTGAGCCGAGATCTTTCGTAACCGTGCTTTTAACCATTTTTGGCAAATAAGAACACGCTGAAATTTTTCGAGACATGTTGTCCAGTGCTGATTCTGAAAAACGGAAACTGCTATGGAGTTTGGTAGCAGTTACTGTAACTGGTGACTAGTCTTTTGTCTGAGCACAGTCCAGGGGGTTGGACGGTAAAAAACTTCTAAATTTAACCAAAAACAAAATAGCTTTGAAGCATTTTCCACTGATGCCTGAAGTAGACGACATTCCCTTTGTAGATTTCTTGCTGGTTTTTTATATCACTTTCAGCAGCAGTGCTAAAATAAAGTCAGATCTAGGTTCACGTTGTGGGTTTTGAAGAGCCATTTGATCCTAGTTCTACATCAGGACTATATACTACTAGCATGATGAGCACCTATTCTTAAATACAGACAGCATTTAATTTTGGCACCACAGCTAACCTATAAGACTACACCAAGCCTAGATTCTTTAAACCATGTACAGTGCTTGGGAGTGAAAAGGCTACTTCTGTTGCAGTGCAGTGATGAAACCCGAGTGTCTGCTTTAATGGAGCACAGTGACCTTCACCTTGACTTTACATCATACCAGCAGTTTCTCCATGCAGAAGATCAATAGGAGGAGGGGAGGAACATACTGGGTGGGAGCTGGGGCGTTATTTGTGAATCAGAATGATCCAGCCTATGTGAACAATAGACACGCTGCTCGGTACAGCAAGACAGGTTAGATTTACCATTGAGGCCACAATGGTGGTGACCGACGGCCAACCACATTCTTTTCCTCTTTAGCCTTTTTCTCATGCAACTAAAGGAAAACAAACAAACCTCCACAACAGGCCAATTTTCTGTTAGGATTTTTGCAAACTAAACACGTAGAATACTGGTGTGGCTCTGATATCAATGCTTTTTATTTTCATTTTTTTTTTTAGTTAAAAGGGAAACAAAGCCAGACAGGCTCAAGGAAAAAGAAAGAGACAGAATTTGATCACCAAACCTCTCCCAGTGCTCTTTAGCGCTTCTTTCCCTCTCAGCCATATGAGACTACAGCAGCATCCCTTAATGTTAACGTGTTACAAAGTAGAGCATAGTGGTACTGCTGAACTGAGCTGAGGGGCAATCTGTTGAGCAGTTAAGGAGTTGACAGTATCAAAGTGGAGTTGCAGGAATGTCCTGGACTGTGAACTAGTGGAGATCTCTTGGAGACAACCTTCTCACCTCAACCCCTTTTCCCTGGTGTGTCTTTTGGACTGTGGGAGGAAACTGGATCACCACGCAAACATGGGGACAACATGCAGACTCCACACAGGCAGCACCCCAAGTCCAGATCTGAACCCAGGGCCCTAGTGCTGTAAGGCGGCTATGCTAAACACTGCAACACCATGCTACCCCTAGCTATTACCATTCACTGCAAATCCCATCAGATGTAATTAACCCTCAAAGATGACTGTCAAAATGAGCAAAACCAAGGCCCCTAAGCCCTTTTGTTTTGTGTTCAATTCTGCCTTCAGGCAGCTGTTCTGTTGAGCTGAAAGAGCACTCTGACCAGTCCTGTGATACTGTATTGAGCTCGCCTCAGTGAATCACTTGAATGCAACACCTGTGTTGAGAGCTTTGAAGAGCAGGATTATAGATAGCTGGGGATCTATGAGAGGGGTGTGGCATGAAGGTGAGTGAGGGGGGAGGGGGGTAGGGTTGAGCTTCACTGGATTCTGGGATTGAGATTCACCTGAGAGAACGCAGCCTGGGTCTGTATTGTCAAGTGCTGATATTCATTTCAGCACCACCTAGGTAAACTGTCTGAGTTCCCCCTCCTACACAACAACAGCACTGCAAACACATCTCCAGACTGTCCTGACTGATACTACCTACTCCTGTCTGCAAGCACAAACATTCACCTCTGAACCAAAGAAATATGGAACCATCTACATGAGAATTAAAACTCTTGCAATTTTCCCCCATTTGGATTTCTCATTGCCCCCCTAAGGTTTTGTCCTACACCAAACGTGAACTGCTGCTTTTGTTACAGGGTGGCTGAATAGTGATTACCACACTATCGTAGCAAATGGTGCTGCAATTCAAAATATAACCACAAATGGTGAATGCTTAATAAAAGCAACAGTCAACCTTATTCCTCCAAGCAAATTCAATAATAAACACCCTTTATTCTGTGCTAGTCTTGTCCGCCTGGAATGCGGTTTCTGCACATTACAGATGTGGGAAGAACCAGGCTTTGTTGTGTATTGTATTAGAAGTGTCTTACACAGTTCTGTTGCTGCTTCAGGCTGTACTGTCGTCAGACTTGCTCTCCAAGTCATAAAGCAGACTTCTGGAAAGACATCTCAGAGTTGCTTCTTCCATGAACAGATCATAAGCAAAATGGCAAAGTGGTACCATAAAAGGCCAACTGAAGGCATACCGAGCATCATAGAAATGATCTGCCCACCCCATTTCCTCCCTTTATGGTGTCAGATATATTTTTTAGAATCAGACGTATTATTTTTACTTGCTGGAAAAAAAAGATCCGAATCCAGGTGTTAGAATGTAGCAAATTAACTACTGCTAATAATAATAATGTTCACCACCTGTCACCAACAGCATTAGGAGAGGTTTTAACTTTTCTAAACTAAAACTGCATACTATATTAAGGATAGGAAAACTCTATAGACTTATTAAAATGAAGGAGCTATTTACATAATCAAAAACTCGCATAATGGATGAAAACCAGTTTTCTTTCAAACCGACATTAGCTTTATTTTTTAAATTGCATTCTGTAAAAATTAGTTCGCAGATTCAGGAGCCTTGCCGCAGTTGAAAAAGAATGCCATCACATTACAATTGGCCCTCATTTGCAGCTTCTTAGAAAGGCACTTGAACTTTGCCTGTGTGAAATGGAAAACGGTGCTCAATCTGGCTGTGGATTGAAGTTGAACTGGATGAGTTGTAGTGCTGTAGCTGCTCTGAGCCCAAGTCCTTATCATATCCAAATGTTGATCAGGTTAATCACAGTAGTGTCAGACACACATACAGTAGGTGAGTCGGTGACTGTGCTACTGCTCCATGGCAGCTAGGTTTTGTTTTCCAAGTTGCCAGCCCTTCACTGTGTTTCCCTGAAGTGGCTTCTAAAATAATGAATTCACCAGTTCAACACAAAATAAACCCTTAGTTCTCAGAAGAAATGTTACAGAAAGAAAGAGGTGGGTGACTGCTGTCTCAGCTTCCTGCTGCAATGAAGGGTATTTTCTGCAGCAGAAGAGCTCTACAGAATTTGGCTGACATCACATGTGGGCACACTCAGCCACACCTGAGTGAAAGGAAATGGTCTCATAACGTGGAATGTAAAAACTGAACAGCAAAATCGAAATTAAAATAGCATAACATCCTGTCATCAGCTCGGCTGTAAATAAACCTAACTAATTTGAAGAGGCTTCATTTTGACGGGCTGGAACTGTTTGAAACTACACCTTTCGGAATCAAAATGGACTTCAGGTTATTACAGGAGGTATCCTGTTAATATAACTCTATCAATTGAACCACAAAACACACAGCAAATGAGCAGACAAATCCAAGCTGCTAGAATACAATATCCGAGAAAAATGATCAATTCAAATTGTATCTGGAACAATGACGTTTAAAATGTGCATGTATGGTACTGGCAAGACTGCATCTTTGGCAAATAAAAGGTACAATTTCATAGTCTGTTCTTTCGGCTTTACTGCTGGATGACAACTGCTGCCTCTGCTTATGGTATAATTAGAAACTGGTTTCTTAGAGCTGTGATCGCATTTCTGCAATTTTTGTTTTCTTGGGATCCTGATTTGGCATGATTCCTATATAGGAACTGTTCTCAAAAACTAAATTTAAAATGGCCTCAAGAACTTGTACTTCTGTATGAGCATGAAAGGCTACTTCCTATGACTCATAACTGAAAAGCAAAACAGAAAAGCTAAATACCATTTCACTCCCCAAAATAATATTTTATCATATAAAACATCTACTTGTTATTATTCCTCCCATCAGTCTAAGGTTATCAATGCTGTATGATACACAGTTCATGCCCTAATGAAGAAAAGAATATTCAAAACTTTATATTGTGCTGACCTGTGCTGTGCTGACTTTCTTGTATGGATGAAATGAAAAGGTTTGCTTGTACTCGGATTAAGCAGAATGTACTGCCCAGTCCGATCACTGAAGATGGACGTTGTCCCACAACAGAACAGTTTACCTGTTATGCAAATACTATAAGACTATAGGTAGCCTTGTGGGTTTTCAGCTCATTTTGCAGAGAGATTTTGCAAAATGCAAATGTGATTTCTTAGTAATCAAACAACAAAATCACAATCCAAACAAGAAAATTCAAATGTGCCTAGGAGCACTCCCGTAGTTCAAAACGGATGAATCTGAAAGTAGATCAGGAATCAAATACAAGGACTGGGATCACCTGCTGGAATCAGTCTGACTGGCCAAGCAAAATCAGCGATAGTCAGCAATTTGATGAGTTTCCTTTTGGAGACATACCTGAACTCTGTATTTGCATTCCAGCATCATAGGGCAACAGCACCTTTTACCATCTCTCACCTTTGACTCTTACATAATAAAACAGACCCACTGATTTTAATCTGTATTTATGGATTTACTATTGTGGTATCAGCTGGGCTTAAGATAAGAGATCACTTTTGTCTGGATTAGTTGAAATAGAGGTGAACTTCATGGTTCAGATCAGTGCCACGAGTAGTGCCATGTTAATTTGCCTTTGTCTAGGGCAGTGGTTCTCAGTCTTGGTGCTGGTGACCCACACACACCTGCTGGTTTCATCCTAGCCCCCCTCCATTACATAACTGAAGCCTTACTTGAGCTAAGAAGTTGCTTCATTGGAATATTTGCATTTTGTTTCTAGTCAAGAGTTCGCGATTTGATTTCACTTACAAAGTTCAATCGTTAAACCTCCAACATGTGTAAGCGCTGGGAACAAACGGTTCAAATTAATTTTCTTATTAAGTCCAGGAAGAGTTTGATAGTGTGACTGAGGGCTTGGCTGGAACAGAAACCAGCAGGCATGTGGGTCACCAGCACCAGGATTGGGAACCACAGTGCTAGGGCATTATCGAGACATTAAAACAGACCTCAAAATCAAAAAGCTTGTTAAATTGGGATAGTGGAATTCACTTCAAGGGCTGTATCAAGTGCGGTCTTTGGTTGAGTGAGATGTGACACCCAATTCTTACACCCTTCTATTTTTTCATTTTCAAATGAGTACTTATTGTTGTTTTTCCCCCCTCTTATTGGTACTGAGCTTTAGAGGATCCTATTTCCAGTCGAATCAATGTGTTTAATCCAATTCTAGGGCACTAGTCTATGGGAAATGAAGTTCTTTATAACCAGGTCACCAGGCTGGTACCTTGAACAATCACAGTAAAGTGGAGGAGGAAGGATATATACCAAAATCTGTGCAGGTACAGATTATGCACACAAAACCCTCTCCCCACCGGCTCTTTCAGACAACCCCAGACCTTCTCTGTGTTTGCCCAGATGGTCAAAAACAGACAGTGTGAGGACCACAAATATGTTTAGAAGCAAAACGTCTGTCCAGTCAGGAGGCATAGCTGTTACGAGCAGGCGCTATTAAACACAGCCATGCCAGGAGTAACCTAAGCCTCAGCAGCAATCTCACCTCTCAGCCGGCTGATTAATGTCCCAGGGGGCTGCAAGCTGCCTTTAGGTATCAAGCTGGATCTGAACTGCACAATGGGAGCTCTTGTCTCTCAATGCAGGAGTCAGGCTTACTGTAGGTGTGTCCGCAATCCAGCTACACCATTCCAAGTTCGGCTCCCTGGCTATTTCCTGGGAAGGCTTCTCACAGGAGCCAGCTGGCTGGCATTGTCGTGCAGAATTAGGTTGAAATGAAATTTCTGCACAGAGATTGCCTCCTTTAAGTGCTTCACTTCTTGTGGGGCAGAAGCATTTAGATTTAGTGCTTTCATATAAATATATCAATAGGAACAGGATAGTACGATGCAGTTTTAGGAGGAAGACCACAGAAAAAAGGCCAGAAATAAAAGTTTTCAGAACTCAGAACACAGGAAAGGAAAAACTACCATAATGGGAGCATACCTCTGCAAACTAAAATGGGTATATTTAAAAACAAATGGAGAACATTTAATTATATCTAGCAGAATCAATGTTGTCACTTACACAACGTATTATAGTATGATATGTACAAGCAAAACAAGTTTGATCAACATTAATCACAAAAACAACAGGCCTCAGCAGCACAACGTTCCTGCTATCTTATTCAATAGGTCTCAGACTGTAGTGCAGATACTTTCAAGATAACAAAATGT